CTTTTCAGTATCCAGAAAGCTAATTCTTGAAGTGTGCCACACACACTTCGTTAACATTTCTGAAACTATACGTCGAGGCAAACCCAGCAAGCAAGYAACCTATCATGAATCATGCTGCAATCAGAACAGGCTCTCATGAATGGTCTTTTACTTTTTATAAGTTTTTCATAGTTTTTAGCCTACCTGCTGTTCCAGCCTTTTTGTACGACCAGCGGGAAGTGCCCTTTCCGTATCATGACTGCCAGCTCGTGCCAATGCTGGCTTTGGATGTTGAATGATTTGCTGCTTTAGTGCCTTGATGCGTCTCTGATATTCCATGCATATGCGCTCATGTTCTTGTCGTAGACTCCTTAACGCCTGACCATGTGGAATGTATTGACAGAGCAATGGAAACAATTGTAAAGATTAGATGGTTTGCTTTCATGCCTGAGGGCAATGATTAACCAAATTCATTAAGCTGCATGCCGCGCAATGCGACACAAAGCACCAGCATGGGATAGAGTTGTTAATCATTGTCGCAACCCCTTGACAAACTTGTAAAAGAAAGACAAATTCAATAAAAGTATTAAAAACTCTCATTCAACAACTGGACAGCTGAGTCAAGTAATAGCAAATTCAATCAAAAGTTAAAAACTATCAGCAGATTCAGTACCTTATTAGACTGCTCCTCTGTGCTTGTGCAAATCGCATTAAGCGAGGCCACTTCACTCTTGAGCTTAACAATCAACTCATTCTCCTCAGGGGGTGGCCTGGATGCCTGCAAAAGACAGATTACATTTGAGAAACTTTTGAGAGGGGTGAAGAAAGTAACAAAAAAAAATTGAAAAAGGATGTGGCACAAAATTGGTAAAGTTGGTCCGATCCGGTTCAGTCAATAAGGCCTCCAACTTAGCCATTACCATCGGGTTTAAAATACGCAATGACATCAGGATTGATTGCCTCATCAACATCATCATCGACAACAATGACAACAAAACCACAACGATGACACCACCACCACCACACCACCAACGACGACGACAACAACAACGATAATGAGAGAGAGAGAGAGAGAGAGAGAGAGAGAGAGAGAGAGAGAGAGAGAGAGAGAGAGAGAGAGAGAGAGAGAGAGAGAGAGAGAGAGAGTTTCTAAGGGAAGTCAGAAGGAGAGACCAGGAGCAAAGGAGTTCAAGAGGAGGTCGTGGGAGGTATGTGGGATACGATGAAATGGAGAAGGGAAGAAAATGAATTCATACAGGAAATCGGAACAGATGTTACTTGCACAATGGTCGGTGACACGCAATAATATGGCCCGCTCTCCAGAGAAGACCCAGCAGATACAAGAGGCTTTCTATAACAATGTCATAGGGCAGGGGAAAGTGGCAGAGATTCGGGAGAACAGGCTCAAATGGAAATGGTGGAAACAGGATATGGCGGTGGGGAAGGGTTAGGGTTTAGGGTTTAGCTAGATTCCTCGCATTATAGGAAGCTGAAGGAGGATAGGCGGGTTAAGGCGTGAGAGGGCTCAGAAGTCGTAGGAAATAGGGTTCACAAGGTCAAGGAGTTTAGACAGTCAAAGAGTAGTAAGCATCTTAGTTCTTGCTCCGCTCCTTTTTGCTGGTTGCTAACTTGTTGTCTAGTTGACTGTTTGTTTGGAAGGCAACAGAATGTGGGATGCTGGACCTGGTTCCCAGCAAAAGCCTAAACTGGGTAATGGCCCCAGATCTTCTGGGTTGAGATGTGGAGGGATTCCCAGCCTCCATTGGTTGATGTTTAATGAAACTGCTACGGCTTCTAGCAAAAAAAAAAAAAAAAAAAAAAAAACAGAAAAACAGAGCCAGCCGCTTTGGTGGAAAGGAAAAAAACAAAAGGAATAGATGTTACTTCATAAAAGGGTGAAGAAAAGCCAGATAAGATTCAGAACTGTAGTAAATTTTGTACCAACCAAGTCGGACAAGGCTTAGGGTCCCAGTAAAAACCAGGACAAGAGGCCGACCCAGAAGTTCTAGCAAAGTTAGAAAATCCGACAGTCAAGGAGCTGAGAGGAACAGGCTGGCTGAGGCCCAAGGAGACAAGCTACAAGTACCCAAGAGCTAGGGTAACCAGGCTAGAACCAAGGACAGAAACAAAGTAGAGCAAGCTAACTTAGGCAGGGGCGAAGGGAGGTACCAACCTTCCTCCGGGAAGTAATCAATGTCGTCCTTCGGACCTCCAAACCATAAGAGGGAGGAGCGTGCGTGAGTGTTTATTGTAATCCCTTCTGACTTGCCGGTAGAATAGGAACTGGACTGATGTTCCCCAGAATGGAAATGGAGCCAGAGGCCCAGAACCCAGGTTCTGGTTTTTCAAAAAGGAAAAGAATTTTTTTGGCATGACTTGACCTTTGTTTTGCAGGTACCCAACAGCCAGACGAAGACAATGGGGTTTGGTATGACCCGACAGGGAATGGCACAGAGTCGACAGACAAAGAGAAAGGGGGTTTGGTATGTTTCCCCATTATGAGGCAACCTTTGATCCTGGGTTCGATGATTGGTCCCATATCCGCCCGTGGCTGGACTGTGACTGAGATGTTGATGAAGATTATGTTGTGCTGATGGGTTGCATGGATGAGATGGACTGACTTGATGATGTCGAGATGTGCAGGCCAGGACTGAGACTTGGACTGCTAGGCCAGACCCAACGAGGGTTCTGGTCTAAGATTGGGACTGATTTCGAAAATCTTGAGATGCGCAGGTCGGACTGAGACTCAGACTGCTAGGCCAAATGGGGGGTTTGACGTAAGATTGAGACTGATTTAATGATGCAAGTAAATGGGATTGGTAGTGTGATTGGGCTGCATGAGCGGCCATGATCTGAGCCCACTAGGCAATGATGTTTGCGTGCGGTGGTCGCACCACACAAGATTGATGAGACTAATCCTTCTTTAATTTTGATGGTGGCTTGGACCAGAGGTCCATGCCTTATTGCGTGAGCACTCGCGCCCTCGCGGGCGAGCACCCTAATGGTTGGGGATATATTTTATATGATGCCTCTATATATCAGATAACATACAAGGCTGCACAGCTCACGATGACATATGAAGGACATCACAAGTGTAATGCACAGGCGGTGGTCAGGCGGTGCGGCTTGATGAACGATGGGCGGATCCAGCACACGTGGCAACAGCGATGGCTCAGGGCGAGGTGGCTATGGTAGGACGGCAAGCTGGCAAGGATGAGGTTGGGCAAAGGAAGGAGGATATAGTGGAGAGTAAGCCCTTAAGGGCGGCTCGAAACGAGGAGCCGGGACGCCATAGCGTTGCTCATATTTATACGCATAATATGCCATCTTCCTCGGCGATGGTGTGCGCTCACGCCAGTTGTCTGGACGGTGGCACAACCTTACCCCTTCCCATCTCTCCTCCTCCTCTCCTTTCCCCTACTCTCCTTCCTCCTCCGATCCGGGCCTCTCCCTCTCACGTGTTAGGTCTATTGGCCGATCGACCGCTTCTCCCTCACGACCACCTCTCCCTCGTCCAGCACCCGAACCGTGTGTCTTCGGTGACATTGTAAAGGCGAACCACTGAGCAATGACAACGCAAGGATAGCAAGAGTGTAAGCGAACAGAGGACATCGAAAGAAGTGGTAGTAGCAAAAGCACGATAGTGCTGCACGCTCGAGTGAACAAGATTAAGTGCGAATGATGAGAATGAGTGACCTATTGAACTTTTATAGTGGTGAGATCCTGGCGAGGATGCCAGGGATGGGGTTTGGAATGGTTGTCGGAGGCCAACGCACCGTGTCAACGGAAATTGACTCGACGCGGTCAGCCTCTGCGCCATGTCAAATTTGCGCCAAGGGCTGTCCGCGATCATAGTCAACCGGGCCCTAACACGTCGATTAAAATTCCCTGGGCCCGAAGGCACGAAAACGACGGTGCGGTGGTACAATCCTCGGGAGATTTGTTCATCCCCTTTGGACTGGACCGTCGTGACCACAAGGGGCAAATTAGTGGGGTTCGGCCCAAACGGCACTTGAAACGGACCAAGGGTTAGTGAGAAAAGTGCAGTTGACCCCTTGGGATCAGATCAACATGGTCATTTGGCATTGTTGACAAAGGTATGGCTTGAAAAGGTCAAGGGAACACGAAATTGGGCCCTTATTATAGTTTAGAAGGGTCCGATTTAATTTTAGAACAGGGCCGACTGTTCGTATTCCAAGGTCGGGCCAGTCCCAGTCCCGTGCTATTTTTAGCACAAGCCTGCCCTATTTTTAGCACAGGCCCAATCTATTTTTAGCGTCGGGATTGGCCATTCGTGTTCCAAAGTCGGGACTGTCCCAGTCCCATGCTATTTTTAGCGCAGGTCCGCGCTATTTTTAGAGCAGGCCCGTGCTACTTTTAGCGTTGAGACTGGCTGTTCGTGTTCCAAAGTCGGGACTGTCCTAGTCCTGCGCTGTTTTTAGCGCAGGCCCGTGCTATTTTTAGTGCTGGGATTGACTGTTCATGTTCCAAAGTCGGGACTGTCCTAGTCCCGTGCTATTTTTTAGCGCAGGCCCGTGGTAATTTTAGCATGGGACTGGCTGTTCATGTTCCAAGGTCGGGACTGTGTCAGTCCCGTGCTATTTTTAGCGCAGGCCCGTGCTAATTTTAGCATGGGACTGGCTGTTCGTATTCCAAGGTCGGGACTGGTGCTAATTTTAGCTCAGACACATCTATTTTTAGCCCCGGCCCCGACCATGGGACTGCTGCACTTGGGCCCAATGACCGGGCCTCTCCACTATAAAAGAGAGGCCGTGTCACCCAAAGAGAGAGAGAACACACACGTGCGAGAATGCAGAAGCACTGGCGCGACGAAGCCGGGACTAGAGCAAGGAGCAAGCAGGGGAAGGAGCAAGATGAGCGAGGACCAGGCAGGCATGAGGTAAGGGAGGGGGAGAGCTGCTACAGCAGGGGCAGAGGTCAGGTTTTTAGCCAAGGTCATAGCCCCATCTCCCACATCCTCTCCTCCTTTTGTCTCTCTCCATCTCTCTCTCTTGCTCTCTCTCTCTCTCTCTCCCTGCTTACTCCGCCCCTTTCCACTATCCTGGCTACCCCCCCTTTTTGGGTGCACTGTGCCACCTTTCTTTCGCTGTTTGCACCAAGTCAGTCTGCATGCGCCGATTTTAAACTGTGTGTGCTTCCTTAAATTATATGTGTTTCACTACTGGCTGGTCCGTAACAGCCTGCACGGCATGCCGATAACCTCGTGGCTGCACGTCCTGCGTGCTCGCAGGCCTTGCATGTTCACTTGTACCAACATGCTTAATCGCCTGCCTAGCCTGTACTTGCATGCGGCATTGGCATGTGCACACCTGTTAGTGCCCCGTGCGCCAGTACTTGCGGTCGCCACCAAATGCTTGCTTGAGTCCAGCTCTTAACACGTCTATCGGGGGTCAGCCTTGTATGAGCAGCGCTTGCCAAGGTCCAAGTTTGTATAGTTGAGCTGCCTGCACAAGTGCCAAGCCCGAGAATGCAGACTGCCGTTGTAGTGTGCGACCCCCCTCCCCTTTATGTGTCTTGGCTGGTCAGGAACAGCATGTCCTCGATCAACACGCCCTCAGACTTGCTGTTGCTGACAGGAAAGTGCACTCACTCACGTGAGTCCGTGCTGATTAGGATTGTCGCACCCGCTCACTAGGATTGGTGCGCGCTTGCATGCAATTCGGTGTGGCGTGATCAGCCACTTGGCAGGCTGGCTCGACTTGGCAAGCTGGTCCAACACTGATATGGATCCAATTCGCCGATTTTCAGACCGGGTCA